AATGCAAAAGTTCACGATATCACTATTTCTCAAGGAGCGAACCACATAAAATACTCAGATACTAACAGCCGAGAATAACCAACTATTAGACTTCCTTAATTAGTGACGGAATTAAGACGGCAAGGATTTTTGACAAGGCGAAATCCGAGCCGAAATGGAAGGAAGGTACGCAAGCATCGAGCGCATCGTTGTTCATATCTTGAATGAAAAAATGCGCTAACAAGAATCAAGTAATTGTAACCGATAATAGCATGGTTGTTATCAATGCAGCTAAGATATCAGACAGATAACACGAGGGCGTCATCCGCCTTGTATCTGAGGCAATAAAATGTTGGTAAGCATCAACAACAACAATCAAGAATTCTGGGGAATATGAAAACTTCAAAAATAGTGGAACAACGAGTCTGGTTATAAAGTAAATCCGTCTTTATTCGATACTGGTAAATGTGTATTATTCATTGGCCAAACAAAGCAGCTGATTCACGCAATCTTAGTACCGATAAACACCATGTACATCAGGGAAGATAAAACCGATGGTGGATAGTCAAGAGAAGATAAGGCTGGCAAGAAATGAAGCCATTCATAATATGAAGTAGATGAATGCGTATAACCATAAACAAACAAGAATTCGTGTAAGGATCACCAAACCGAAGTGTAGGTTGTTTTGATTCTTGTGGATGAATGCCTGCGATGTAAAAATCTCGCAATACAGAAACATCAGATGTGCAAAAATCGAACAGGTCAGAGGAAAATTCGAATAGATAGTAAGTCGCTGTCACATCCAATAAGATATCGTGGATACATATGGTTGGAAGTGTACAATAATTTTACTCGACGCAACGACAAGGACGAGTCTGGATGGTGAGCGACTGGGTTTTAATGGGGCTTATACTAGTGACATCAGATTCATGAGTAGTGATGAGCGTAAGGAAATGTAATTTAACTGAAGTAAATGAAGACAAAACATGAACGACCCAAATGTGATTAAAATATGAGTAGAGAGTAGGAATAACAAGAGGCGACATGAGGGGAAAGGAATGATAGGTATATTTACATTTTAGACTACATGACGCGCTTGATGTGATGCTTAGCAGATTTACAGCAGATAATGTTTGAAGGCAATTATAGCGAGTTGAGTTACTTAGATAGTTGAGGTAAAAGTAAATGCAGACTGATCAAATGAGGAGAGTTGGTGTGGAAGAGTCAACAGGGAAATGCAAGTTAACTAGAAGACGAGACCAGAAAAGAAATAGGAAAATCGGGAACTCGTCTGGTGCTTACTGGGTCAATACCAGTCATAACTGGGGCTCTGCGTACGATTGCACCTGCAAAACAAGCCAAAACGCATATCGAAGCTCAAATATAAGAAATGGAATTTTTACACGGAAATGTGGGCACACGAGATAATTCGTACTGAGCCCGGGGGATAGAGAAAAGAGAATCTATGCAGTGCCCTTGCAGTAAGGGCAATAGTATGTTTCCACATCAGCTTCACTTGGTTTGCAACCTATGCATATTTGGTGATACCAAAGAGTGCATTTATCGCACTGAATCCAGTCTATCGCATTATCTTGAGGTTGTTTGCAAGGCCTAGCAGAGCATTCTTCTGTATCATAGTGGAATAATTCATTAGCAGTGCCTGACTGTCCAGAGGAACCACCGCCTGATTTGCGACCCGCAGCCCCGCCGCTAGTAATACCCCTCTTGCCAGTGGGAACATTTGAAGTTTTTCCTGTAGTAGATTTACGTCCTGGCAAGACAGAAGTAGATTTTCTCCCAGGCGT